CCCCGCCCCCACCGCCGCCACCCGCCAGGGCTGAGGAAAAGGCCAGGGGAGGGCAGTGAGGGTGGTGCTGGGGGGTGGGGCAGAGTGTGGCTGAGGGGCCCTGAGCGGGGCAGTGACACTCAGCAGGGCCCTGGGCTGAGGAGGCCCCGGGCAGGTGGGGGCCGGGGCAAAGGCTTCCTGCTGGAAGGCCAGAGATCATTCTTCCTTCATTCATTGAACAATTACTTACTGAGCCCCTACAAAGTGGCAGGCCCTTTGCCGGACCAAGCAAGGTGGGACCAAGCAGAACCAAGTCCCACCTGCACAGGGCTCACATTTAGGTGGGGAGACAGGTGAGAAACACTACCAGACGTGTCAGGGGGACGGGACAGAGAGCACCAGAGGCCTGGGAAAGCCTTTCTGGGGAGCTGGCATCTGAACAAGTATCAAAAGACAAGAAGAAGTGAGCTCTGCAAATATGGGGGACAGTGTCCAGGTGGATAAAAGAGCCAAGGTGGCAGCCCAGGGTGGAGCAGGTGGCACGTGAGGCCAACACGGTGAGCAAGGGCAGAGAGTGGCAGCGGGGAGGGCGGAGGAGTAGCCAGCTGGCGTGGAGGCTCAGCCTGGTCCCCAAGGGCAGGGGTCCTGAGAGGGGTGAGGACCTCACACCTGGGTGGTGGGAAGGGGTGTAGGAGAGTGGGGGAGGAGACAGCAGAGAGGCTGCCCCGTGTAGGGTCAGGGTCGGCTGGGCCTCTGGGCCGAGGGGGATGCGGGAGAGAAGCGTGGCCAGCAGCACCCACCCCCAACAGCCGCGGGTGCACGTGAGATGGGCTCATGCTCACTCCGCCTCCTGCCCCCACGCTCGTGCACGTGCGGGAAATAAGCGCAGGCCCACCTTGCACAGGCGTGCACATGGAATTGTGCCTGAACACATGCGCGCGCACAGGCTCCTCGGGTACATGCGGACATTCGTGAGACATTCTAGAATGGCAGAACACCGGGCTGGAGGACTTTAGACCAACTCTCACGTGTGGCAGAGGAACTGAGGCCTAGGGAAAGCAAGTCTCATAATTTCGTGGTCTAGGCAGATCTCAGCGTGTCCTTCCCGAGCGCTGGCTGGTGTCTTCCAGAACCCTCTCTTCTCAAGGGCCGGAGCCAGACTCTCCGTCCCAGGACACCCGCAAGCTAGACCCAGTCCCTCAGGAGCAAGCAGGGCTGCCTCCCAGCCACTCCAGCAAGCTGTGGCAGGCACGTGGGGCGGGGACCCAGACCGACTCTGGCCCCCTTGGCGGACGGCAACAGCGCACACCCCGACTGGCCTGGCCTCGCAGTGGCGCCCACCGCACGTCCCTCTCAGAGCCTGCGCCAGCCTGGCAGACCTTGCTCTGTCTCTCTTCGCTTCCTTTCTCTCCCTCCGGCTCTAACCCTGCTGTCTGCGATTCTCTGTTTATTTCTCTTCCTCCGGTGTCTCTCTTATTTCTGTTTCTCTCCAGTTCTCTCTCTGCCGGCTCCGTCCCTCTCCATTTTCTCATCAGTATTTTTTTTTGCCTTCCAGGAAAAGCTGACGTGGCGCCACCGGCAGCCCCTGGTCAGCAGAGCGAGGCCCCTCGGGGTGGGGGCGTCGGCGCAGCCGCCGCAGCTGGAGCGGGCTGGCCTAGACCAGGAGGGAGGGGCAGCGGAAAGGGAGGGGAGAGGGCTGGGCCTCCGCGGGGCAGGAAAGGGAGGGGAAGGAAACACTGCAGGAGGAAGTGGGCCCCACCCCCACTGCTAAGGTGGCCAACTGTCCCGGTTTGCCTGGGACTGAGGCCCACAGGAGCCAGGGCCAGGGCTGGCAGGAGGGCTCCCAGACATGGTCCCCTAGAGAACTAGGACCCCCAGGACTCACCTCAAGCTGCACACCTCGTGGCTGTCCCTGCACTGCCGCGGGGCTGCTGCGGACGAGGTGGTGTAGGACTTGGAGGGTCTGGGAAGAGCTCTCCAGCCCTGGGCCTCCGGGCTCCTTTCGTGAGCTGGGGGCAGTCAAGGTCCCACATACTCACTGTGGGTCCCCATCTTCAGGCCTGAGCCCAGCTCGGAGGAGGCCAGGAGAGGGAAGATGGCAGCCCAGAGAGCGCACAGGAAGCTCCCAGACTGGGAGGAGGACAGGAGGACAGACTTCTGCCTTGTCTCCTCCTACACTGGCATTATCTCCTGCTGGGCAGGTTCTGCAGGAAGAACTTTGCCAACGCCAACGAAAGCAAGGGGAGAGTAGAGACTGCCCAGGAGGTAACAGGCCCCCATCCTTGGGGCTGTGCACAACTGCTCCTTGGCTCTGCCAGGGGTAAGGGGGCACCTTGTCCCACTGTGAAACACCTTGGAGGGTCAGAGGGTCCTTAGCTGAGTCCACTGGGCCCTGGTGGCGGTAGGGAAGGGCTGCACCTTGCAGGCAGTGGTAGGACCTGGGCAGATGGGGACGAGCTGTCAGTGACGGTGTCGTTTCTGCCCGAGTGGGCTGGCACTTCTTGCATCTCCTGCCCTCAGCCCCCAACGGCTGTCCCGAAGTGGGAGTCTAAGCCTAGTGTTTGGCTGTCATCAAGGTCTTCAATGACGGGGAGTGAGGGGCAAAGACTCCCTGCCCCCAGGAGGGCTGGTACCAACAGAGTGTGGGTCTCCTACAGTGTATGAAATATTTTCTAAAATGTCTTTATTGTAAGGAACCAAATAACCTTGGGCATGTTCCTTCCCCGCACTGGGCCCAAAGTCCCTACATGTACAACGAGAAGGTGGCGTTGATCTCTAGTACTTCCGCTTCTAGCCTTCGACGACCGTCCTCCTTGTCCACAGCTCAATCAGGGCTATTTACTGAGACCTTCTCTGTACCAGGGATCAGCAGCAACTGCAGGGTAAGGCATCTGTGCTTGACACGCTTCCTCTCTAGTAGAGGGTCGTGCATTAAACACGTGCAAATAAACAATCGCAGATCATAGCAAGAGCTGTGAAGAAAACTTAGGACATTTGTGAGAGTAATGAGAACCGAGGGCTGGGAGATGGTTGCACTCTGACCCTGGTGCGGTTTGGAGGAGGGAGCGGGCTGTGGTCTGTGAGCACCTCAGAGCACCTGGAGGTGAAGCCGGTGGCGTGGCCTTTGTACAGGTGCGGGTGTGTGTATGGGCTGTGCAAGACACAGTGATGCCCTGTCCACCAGCAAGCCCTCCCTGACTGACAGCGAGGTCACTGATTCTCCCTGTGGTTTATTGAACCCTGGATGTGTATACTTCCAGTCTCTGCTTGACCCACCAAACTTAGGATTTTCCCAGAAATTCTATGGCACAGCAAGGATGATGCAAGACAGGGCTTCCTCCCCAGGAGGAGGCTCTAAATCAGACTATAATAATATCCTCAGCGCTGGACTCGGGGCGTCTCACCGGCAGCGTGCCGTGGACCTCTGAGGTCTTGCGTGCTGACAGGGAACGGGGTATGAAGAGCTGGGACAGGCTCCCTGGATGCTTTCAGCCAAAGATGCTATCTGTCTGTCCTTGGCCCTGCCAAGAGGGTAAATTGAGTCATGAGCAGAATTCAGTTAACAGACGGAAGGAAAAGGAAGCTGGGGTGAAGGCTACTGAGGGGATACAGTAGGCTTATTTTGTGAAAGGCAAAATTATTCAGTCTACAAATTTCTTTTCTGGGGCTGCCTCATCTTTCGTTTTCTATTCCAGATCTCTTGTTTTGGACCACTTTTATCTGATTCTCTCTCTCTCTCTCTCTCTCTCTCTCTCTCTCTCTCTCTGTTTTGGAGAAGGTCTTGCTCTGGCACCCAGGCTGAGTGCAGTGGCATGATCACAGCTCACTGCAGCCTTGAACTCCTGGGCTCAAGCAATCCTCCTCCTCAGCCTCCCGAGTAGCTGGGACTACAGATGTGCACCACCACATCTGGCTTTTGGGCCTCTTTGGGCCCCATTCCCACTCCCGTGGGCCCTCACGTTTGGGGAAAAAGGGCCAAATATCCTTGCCTTGGAGGTGTATGCCCCTTCCACACAGACTTGGGGCAGTGGAGCCCAGAGAGGGCAATGCTGACTGATAGACACCAGCTCCTGAGGTGGGGTTTCAGGCCCTGTGGGGGCCATGGAGAGAACACTCCAGAAGTGAGGCCCCTCAGCCTCCCCTCTGTGCTCCAGGTGGGCAGTCCTGGATGACAGAGCCTCTCTGTGAGTCTGGGTATCTCAGAATCCCAGCCAGGGACACCAAAGCCCAGCTGGTTCCCTCCCTGAGCTTTCCGTTACCAGGTTCTGAGCCAGGTGTCCTTGTCCCCTCCCCCTCCAGTGGGGAGCCCAGTGTAGGGGTGGGAGGGGGCAGGCCTGGAGCCTTGGGAGCTCCCTGGACAACGACATGCCTAAGGGCAGCTCAGCCTCAGAGCCAGTGGACCTGTTTGCTTTCTTGAAAGAGCAGAGCCCAACACTTGGGCTGCTCACTGAGGGGCTGGAGCCTGGTGGCTGCTGCAGACACTGTGGCCTTCTCAGCTTTCCACTGGGACACGCACACACGCACACACACTCACTTCCACGTACACACACACTCCAAGGCAGGCACAAAGTGTCACACCCCCCCAAACACACACAAAGACATACATTCGCAGTCACATACAGACACACACACCCACATACAAACACACACACTCGAACATTCTTAAGCACACACAGTCTCATACCCACATTGATGCAAGCACACACCAACTCATCCACACACAGAGGTTTGCTCTCACACCCACAGACTTGTACATGCCACACGTGGACACACATAGACACCCCTGTGCCCCTGCTTGGGAAAAGGAGCCCCACTTTTTTCTTGTTTGAAGTGAGGTTAGAAGTCTCCCCCCTTCCATGAGATTCAATTTCTCACCTGGCTCCCCTAAAAACCTCCTGGCCTCATCTCTTCTTGGGTCCCTTCCAGACAGTGCTGTGTCTTTAAGGAAGTTGAAGCTGCTAAAAGTGAGTGAGAGAGAGAGAAAAACACAACCCAAAAAAATTTGGCATCTTTTCCCCCTCAAGTTTCTGGTGTCACTTATGAAACACGGGTCCTTGTTGTTGTAGAGAAGCAGTTGTTTTGCTGGAAGGAGGGAGCTTGCGGCTGCCCCTGCCCCTCCCTGCAGCCCCCTCTCAGCAGAAGTTCCCGGTCCCAGGCGGCCTGTCTGTGACAGGGGGGCACAGGCGTGCAAATTGGAGGTGGGGAGGAACCCGGCCAGCCCTTCCTCCAGCATCCAAGCCCTCCCGTGGCGCCCTTGGCCCGGCAGACTCCAGGGCTCACTTGGTCCTCTGCTGGCGTGTGATTCCAGCTCAGAAGAGGCTCGGCTGGACTAAGAAGAAGCGAGTTTGCAGGTAAGCTAACGGGAGGGAGGCTGCAGGGGGGGTGGGCGGTGGAGGGAGGCCTGTTGGACACACAAGCTGGTTCCCTCTTGGCACTTCCCTGTTGGTTGGAGGCGCTTGGGACAATCCCTAGCTTGGAGCTGTTCAGGGGGGCATCTGCTTCTTTGACAACGACGACAACGGAGGCCCCAGAAAGCCCAGCTGCGCTTGGGCTGAGCGCCTGGCCTCACCCATGTCAGCTGAGAGGTCCTGGCGGGGGTTTATTTAGGCAGCTGCCTGGCGTAGTTTGAACAGAACAGGCCATGGGTGGGATTCTGCAGAAAGGGCCTGGTGTCTGCTGTGGTCACGGCCGGGGGAGCGGGAAAGGGCGGGTGGGGCGGATGGGGGTGGTGTGCACTGCACAAGGGGCCTTGTCTGGCCGGGGCAAAGCATACCTATGGGGGCTCCAGTGGGAGGGACTGCAGCCAGGATGTGGGAGGGCAGGGGGAGGTTCTGTGAAGTGCTGGGGGAGGGGGTGACTGGAAAACAGATTTCAAGTCATAAAGTTGGCTAAGAACAGGCTGGAAGAGCTGTCTGCTCAGAGGAAGAGCTGGGGTCCTCTTCCATCCTGTCTTCCTCTGCCTGACTGCGTGACCTCGGGCAAGTCCTGGCCCTTCTCTGGGCCTCAGTTTCCCCTTCTGTAGAATGGGGGTGGTGGGCTCGGTGGTGTTGGGCCTTAGCTGGGTTACGTGCGGCAGGGCCCCTGATGGGTCCTGACAGCGACGAGTCCCTTTGGCAGGTCCTCTGGCTCGGATCGCTGGGTGACATGCCCTTCTCTGCAGGCGGCGTGATGCGGGAGCTGCATCTGCTCTGCTGGGCGGCTCTCCTGGGCCTGGTGCAGGCCTGTCCTGAGCCCTGCGACTGCGGGGAGAAGTATGGCTTCCAGATCGCTGACTGCGCCTACCGCGACCTGGAGGCCGTGCCGCCTGGCTTCCCCGCCAATGTGACTACGTTGAGCCTGTCAGCCAACCGGTTGCCAGGTTTGCCAGAGGGCGCCTTCAGGGAGGTGCCCCTGCTGCAGTCACTGTGGCTGGCGCACAATGAGATCCGCACGGTGGCCGCTGGCGCCCTGGCGCCTCTGGGCCATCTCAAGAGCCTGGACCTCAGCCACAACCTCATCTCTGACTTTGCCTGGAGCGACCTGCACAACCTCAGTGCCCTCCAGTTGCTCAAGATGGACAGCAACGAGCTGACCTTCATCCCCCGAGACGCCTTCCGCAGCCTCCACGCCCTGCGCTCGCTGCAACTCAACCACAACCGCCTGCACACGCTGGCCGAGGGCACCTTCGCCCCGCTCACTGCGCTGTCCCACCTGCAAATCAATGACAACCCCTTCGACTGTACCTGCGGTATCGTGTGGCTGAAGACGTGGGCTTTGTCCACGGCTGTGTCCATCCCCGAGCAGGACAACATCGCCTGCACGTCACCCCACGTGCTCAAGGGCACACCACTGAGCCGCCTGCCACCGCTGCCCTGCTCAGCGCCCTCGGTGCAGCTCAGCTACCAGCCCAGCCAGGATGGGGCCGAGCTGCGGCCTGGCTTCGTGCTGGCGCTGCACTGTGACGTGGACGGGCAGCCGGCCCCCCAGCTTCACTGGCACATCCAGACGCCCGGTGGCACCGTGGAGATCGCCAGCCCCAATGTGGGCACTGACGGGCGTGCCCTGCCTGGCACCCTGGCGGCCAGCGGCCGGCCGCGCTTCCAGGCCTTTGCCAACGGCAGCCTGCTCATCCCCGACTTCGGCAAGCTGGAGGAAGGCACCTACAGCTGCCTGGCCACCAACGAGCTGGGCAGTGCTGAGAGCTCAGTGGACGTGGCGCTGGCCACACCTGGAGAGGGCGGTGAGGACACACTGGGGCGCAGATTCCATGGCAAAGCCGCTGAGGGCAAGGGCTGCTACACCGTTGACAATGAGGTGCAGCCATCAGGGCCAGAGGACAATGTGGTTATCATCTACCTCAGCCGGGCTGGGAGCCCTGAGGCTGCAGTGGCCGGAGAAGGGGCCCCTGGGCAGCGGCTCCCAGGCCTGCTCCTGCTGGGCCAGAGCCTCCTCCTCCTCCTCTTCCTCACCTCCCTTTAGCCTCACCCTGACCCTAGGCTGGAGCAGCCCCAGGCTTCCCTAACTCCACCCCCTGCCATGGCCCCCCGGTGAGCGCTGCAGGGGTCTGGGGTTGGCAGCTCCTGAGGCCTGCCTGGGTGACTTTGCATTTTCCTACCTCCCCTCTAATCTCTTCGAGAACACCCACCACCCCCAACTTCTAGGCCTGCTCCAAGCTAGTGACTAGGATAGCATTTGATCCCCTAACTCGCTGTCTGTGGAGCTGTTGCTGCTAACAGCATTGCCCATGCTCCCCGTCAGGGCAGCGTGCTCACAGGGCCATGCCCTCGCCCGAGCCTAGCGGTGGGGGTCCAGGCTCTGTGACCGACAAGCCCGGCAAGGGCCAGGCGGGCTGGGGCTAGGAGGCAGCCTGAAGCACACAGGGCACAGGAAGACAGGATGTAGGGCAGTGGCTGGCGTGGCCCTGAGTCTCTCCATGACCTGCTCACGCTCCTCCTGCCCTCTGGCCCTCCTGCCCCTTGGGGGCTCTGGAGTCTGTCTGTCCTCATCTCAGACTGAGCTGGGGGATCTAGGATGGGCCTTCCCCCCAAACTGCCTTCTTCACCCTGGGCACCTGCCCTCCTTTCTCCCCAAGCGTGCGTCTGTAACCTGCCTGTCCAGAGAGGCTGGCCGGCCTTGGGATGGCAGAGAAATAAACAGCATTTCTGATGCTCCCCCGTGTCCGCCTGGAGTTTGGTCTGGATCTAAGAGCCCCCATCGGGGATAGGCTTGGGAGCTGGAGAGTCGGGGCAGCCAGCCTGCCTGCCCACGTGTGACGGGGACCCGTGAGACCCATGCAGGCCATGCGGTGGGCCAGGGGCTGGGCCTCCGGGGAGCAGAGCTACAGATGTTCCTCCCCCTGACACCAGCCCACAGGCCAGAGGCTGACGGCTGTCACAGAGGCTTCCCTGGGGTCGCTGGTGGATCTGAGTGGGGCTTTGTGTCAGCAGTGGCTTCAGGAGGCATTTTCGGAAGGGGACGGGGAAATGGAGGTGCCTGGGTTGTGGCCCCTCCTGCTGTCTTGCTCCTGGAAGAGAGTTAGGAATACAGAGGAAAGCGGGGACAGGCAAGGCAGGGTGGGGGAGAAGGGAGGAGAGGGGGACACAGGACAGAGGGGAGAGAAGCCCGAAGGGACTGAGGACGGGGGAACCCATCCGAGGGAGAGCCAGGGGGAAATGAATCGCACCCCCCTGTCCTTCAGGAGGGAGGAATGGGACTGCAAGCGGAAAGCCCAAACAGGGGTGCAGGTCCCCACAGGAATCTTTCCCCACAAAGCAGGGGGTCAGTAACGACTGGAGCGGTAGCTGCAAGGAGGGGTGCTGACAGTGAGCTCTGGTTGCTCAGAGTGGGGGGCACACGGGTGGGTCTGAACCTGGAGACTCTGCAGAACCCCAGATCTGCGTGGGTCAGAGATGTGTCTCTCTACTTCCTCCATCCTGCCCCTTTCAGGACTGAGGGAGCTGCACACAGTGACGGTGACCCAGAGCCCCCGGAACTGCTGAGCTCAGCAAAGTGGAGGCAGGAGGCCAAGGAGTCTGGGGTAGCAGCTGGGAGCCCTCCCCGTCCACATACAGCACCTCCCCTCCCCCTCCCCCCCACCAGCTTGCAGCTCTGGCTGAGCTGATGTCATCAGCAGCAAGTGTCAAGAATGACTCCACATCTGGTGGAAAGTAGCAGGATAGAGCCCAATCCCATGTGCTGTGCCACCTTGGGTAAGTCACTGCCCATCTCTGGGCTTCGGTTGTCTCAGAAGTCAAATGAGGACAGGGGACTGCTTAAGGGTCCAGTCAACTTTGATTATCTAAGGCTTGATAATCCTAGCCTAAGCTGGGTCCCCATGTCCCTGGCTCTATTCACAGGGATTGGTTCTTGGAGCAGGACCTGGACCTAAGACCCGGTCAGGGCCGCAGGGGAGCAGCTGTGCTGAGTGAACTAGCTACTCCCCTGCTGTAAAGTCTTGCTGGCCCCGAAGCCCTCCGGGCGAAGCTGAATTCCCCAGCCACCATTCGTAGCCCTCTGACTGGCTCCTCCGTGATGTTCAGCCCCGTCTCTGCTGCTTCTTGAAACTGCTAATTAATTGTTCCCATAATGCTCTGTGGCGTGTCATCCACTGCACCTCTGCTTGCACTGTTCCCTCAACCTGGGCACCCCTTCCCTGTTCTTCATTTGGCTAAGTCAGTCTTTGAGACTTGGCTTAGGCACCACCTCCTCCAGAAAGCCTTCCTGGATGTTCCCCCACCACCAGTGTGGACCAGGTACCTTCTTCCTCTGGTGCACACAGTCCTGGGGGCCAGTGACCCAGTTTGATCACACTCTACTATGACTGTTTCCTTGTCAAGGCAGAGATCGAATCTGGGTTCTCCCCTGTGACCCTGTCAGTTGCTGACACAGGGCCAGGAAGACAATTTCCCAGTAGGCCGCGGTGGGACTGGAGCTTGCCCTCTTTGGCCTCCTCAGGGCAGCCTCAAACGTGGGTTTGCGGTCCCTGGCCCCACACAGGCCCCGCAGGTGTTCGAGGCTTAGTGAGGGCAGGAACCTGGGTGGAGGGCAGGGGGCTGTTGGGCTCCACTAATTGTGCAGATGTTTCTCCCGCTGACCCCACTGTGGGGTAGCCCCCAGCCCCTCGGTGGACCCCACACCCAGGGCATCCTCCTCATTAGCGCATCTCCCCCTCCACCAATCCCCCAGCAGGGGAAGGGACTCCCACCTGTCTCAGCCTCCTCTTCTCTGCACCCTCGGTCTGCTCCCATTACGACAGCCCCCCATCACCCCCCGGCGGGGCACACCCTCGTCTACCTCCCCAAATCCTGCCCATCCTTTAAGACCCAGAATGAGTCCTACTTCCAAAGTGACATCCACGCTGCTCAGGGTGGCATCATAGGACCCTCAGTCTCTTCTCTGCCCAGAGGGATGCAGCTATGAGTTCTCTGCCCTCCACCCCATGCCCAGTCCAACATGTGGCCGGAATACCCCAAACCCACCCAGGCCCCACGACTGCACAGTGCTGGCTTACTGACAGTGCGGTGGGGTCCCCTGCATCGCCCTGCCCTGTAAGGACTGTTTCTCAGGAACAGGTTTATTACAGGGAACACACTAACCTCTTTCATAATAGCTACAGGCACAAAAACTACAAAAATATCTGGCTCTCGAGTGCGGGCAGCTCGGTGTGGGGCCTGGCCTGAGTCGTGGCTTGTGCTGCCTTTCGGGCCAGAGGCCCAGGAGCCTTCCAGCCACATCCCAGCGAAGACGAAGACGGGGAGCTCAGGAAGCGAGGAAGTGCCGTGGCTGGCTCCATGGGGGGGTCTCCTGGATGTGGCCGCCCCAGCTCCATTGGCTCCTGCCCCCAGGACCTAACACACCCGTTGCTTTCTCCAGGGCTCCGGCTGGCTCTCCCACGGGCAAGCGGGCAGAGCAGAGGCCCCCTGAGGCTCACAGAGTAGACAGACATCCATCCAACCGTGGCGATCCCGGGGACCTTCGGCAGAGCTGTGCTCAGTGGAGGGGCTGCTAGGGATGGGGCGGTGCTGGGAGAGCCAGAGAGGGAGCAGGGTGGGGAACGCAAACGTGCCGCGGCACAGAAGGGCAGGTGGGTTGGCCTCCCCTCCCCTCAGGGCTGGGTGCCATTGGCCCGGGCACCTGGCCGGGCTGTCTTCCGGAAGGCCTGCAGAGCTGGGTTGTGCAGCAGCGTGTAGGCCAGGCCCCAGCGGGCCCTGCCGCAGCTGGCCCTGGGCCCTGCTCCCCTGGTTATGGGGTCCTTTGTCTGCAGCAGCTGCAACCCTGAGAGGAGAAGACCTTCTGTGGGTCCCTTAACAAACACCCAGCCTAGCCTCCCCAGCCCCCAGCCCTGAGCAGAGGGTCTGAAAATCCCATGCATAGTGAGGGTGGCTAGCCTGGGGTCCCAGGTGCCAGCTCAGAGTGGGAAGTGGGAAGACTCCTCTGTGGGGTGCAGAGGGCTGTTTGTAAAGGCTTGGGATGTCACCCTGCAGGTGGCAGACAGAAGAGGGAGGGATGAGGTCTATGGTCGGACTGGAAGCTGGCCTGGAGCTGGCTTAGTGTCCCCTCCTTACTACACACTTCCCAGGCGGCAGAGAAGGAGGGGGTCATACTTCCCACAGGGAGAGGTGAGGGTTGTGGGGTTGGCCTGGGTCGTGGTGGGTATGCCAGAGGCCCTTAGCAAGGCAGCCGTTTCACTCCGCGTGTGCACACACATGGGTGTGCTCCTACCGTGGAAAACATTACCCAGAGACCAGACTGGGAGGGGCAACCACAGGCCGCCAAGGGAGAGGCAGTGAGAATTTTCCTGGCGTTCGCTCTGGGTTGGGGGTGCATGCCTCCTTCCTGGGAGAAGCTGGGTAGGCTCGGTTCCCCCCATCTCCAGAAGTGGGGCACACCTTCTTCCTCCCCTGGCCTGAGGCTGTCCTGGGGGGCTGGCGGGGTCCAGGGCCGGGGGCTCCGTGCTCGCAGGAGCAGGGTGCAGAAGGCTGTCATGGCTGGATGCGATTGGCTGACTTCAATCTTCAAGAAGTTGCGGTATGTGTGGTAACCTGGGGTGCGGTGGGGGACGGCAGCACTGAGGGCACAGGGCCCACCAGCAGACCAGAGGCGCCCAGAGCCCCTAACGCACACACAGGGAGTGTGCAGGCACACCCTGCAGCCAAGCATTAGGCACGCCGGGCACGCGGCACACACGCTGCACACGGGCACACACCACACCCGGTGCACACACCGCAGAGCCAGGCGGCGCACAGTGCAGCGGAGCACAGGTGGCACGTGCTTACAGACATCTTCGTGAACTAATCGGCTCGTGGACCTGGGCAGGGCAGAGCCCTCCCTCACCACTAGGGTAGCCTGAGCAGCCCCTCAGCCCCCAGCCCTGCTCAGGGTCCTTACCAGGGTCAAAAGTGGCAGCTCTCGGGGGCAGCAGGCTGAGGTCTGCCTGGCCGAGGTGGACAGCGTTGTAGAGTGCAGAGAGGAACACTCGCCAGGCGGCCACCACGGCGCCCACCAGCACGTTGAGGGGGAAGAGAAGAAAGGTGGCTGCGTAGAGTGCTCGCCTGGGGTGGGGGAGAGGAAAGGCTGAGGCGGGCCCCCCACCCTGATCCCCCTCCTTAGGGTCAGGGTCAGACCCAGATGCCCAGAGCTGCTGTGCATTTACTGAGTGCCTACTGTTTATCGGGTGTGCCTTCTGTGCACCCCACCCTGTGCTGGCTGGGACTTGTCTACTCGGGTCTCTCTGTGAGCCAGGTATCTCCCACCTCCCTCCTCGGGCCCCCTGTCTACTAACTCCGAGTCTGTCTCGGGGCCAAGGTTCTCCCAGAGCCTTGCCATCTGTCGTGGAACCTCCTTCCCGCAAAGGAAAGAGGCCCATGGTTTGGGGGGGGACTGAGGATCTGGGGAGAGCAGCACTGATTCCCAAAGCAAGAAAGGCTCATAGGGGTATTTCTGGCCCCATGACAGGTATATAGAGAGGTATTTGGAGTAGGCTGGGCCACTGTCCCTTTTCTCTGCAGGTAAGGCAAGCTTTCTACGGTCTTCTGGGATCCCTGATAAACAAAGGGGAGAGATGGTAATGGAGGAAGAAGGGCACAGAAAGAGAGAGACGCTGAAGGAGAGGAGGCTGAGGGCCCAAGGGAGCCACAAGCCCAGGGGCCACCTCACCGGTTGGTCAGCTCCGGACGTCCGTGATGTGTCTTCAGGAAGACCCAGTTGGCTGCCACGTTCTGCAGGATCACAGCCAGGGCCAAAGTCAGCCAGAAGGGCCTGCGGGTGGGGTGGGGAGGTGGTCTCTGTTAGCAGCCCTCCAGGAAGGGGCCCCAGAGCCCTCCTTGCCTCACTCACCACGAGGACTCCAGAAATCGTAGAAGCAGGAGGTTCCTGCCGTGGAGCACAGGCACAAACACCAGGAAGGCGAGGGCTGTGGTTCCCAGGAAGAAGATGATCTGCTGCACCAGGAGCCCTGCCGGGGGTGGAGAGGCAGAGGGACAGACATCAGGTCCTGTGGGAGCCATGGTCCACCCCTGCCACCCCCAGGAATTCAAGGGCTTTGGAATTGAGCAGATCTGGTTTCAGATCCCTGCTCTGCCACTGCCTAGCTGTGCCGCCTTCAGCAAGTTACTTTACCTCTCTGAGCCTCAGTTTCTTCTTCTGTAAAATGGGGATAGTAGTCCCTACCTCAGAGGGCTGTTACGAGGATCCCATGAGATAGTGTCTACGCAAACTCTCTGAAAACCACAAAGTGCTTTGCAAATGTGATGAATATTTTTCCCCAGTTGCACCAGAGTTCTTGGGGATAAGAACACATTTTAAACAAACGTTTGCATTCCTACGAGCCAGAGCCTGGCGTATGGTAGGTGCCCAGGGTTGTCTATTGCAATAATCTGGCCAATTGATTCTACAGGATAATGTGTAGGGAGGGGCTTGGGAGGCACAGTATAAACAAAGTCTACCAAGAAGAGAAACTGTGACTTTCAGTCCTAGTAATTCCTCCACTCCTTTATCAGCCCTCCCCTCCAGCAAGGTGCGAGCCGAAGGGACCGAGGTGGGGAAGTCAGGCCCTTGGATTTGCAACCCTGGCCCAGCCCCTCCAGCGTCCGAGTGCTTTCTCCCTGCAGGGTCCAACATGGGAATGGAAACTCAGGGCGGGGAGGGGTCCTACAAGGTTATTTGGTTCAACTGTCTCAGGGCAGGACCCCCTTTCCAGATGCCAACAGTGTCCGAAGAACTCTGCTTGCACACCCCCAGCGAAAGGGGGGTGTCACCTCTTGAGGTGGCCCATTGTGGCATAGCCCTTCCTTACATGAGCAGGAACGGGCCACCCCGAACTTGCCACTTCCAGACCTGGGTCCACCCTTCATGTAAACAGCTGGTGGCACCCAGGGTTCATCTTCATGTGAAGGGTACCCACTTCCTGAGGGGCTCCTGCAGCCCGCACCCAACCTGAGCAGCTCCCTGAGGGTGGAGAAGGCAGGGTGGGTCCCTCCTCTTGCTCTTGCCCCAGAGCCTGTCCAGCACAGGCAAACACGCAGGGGCAGCAAGGACCTGCTGAGCGCCCTTCCCCTCTCCCACTGGGTCCAGGCGGGGTGTGGGGGCAGGGGAGCTCACCAAGGCAGGTGAAGGCAGTCTGGTAGGCACTGAAGCTCATCCAACAGAATATGGCTTGGCGGGAGGGGTGGGAGCTCTGGGGTAGGGGACCCAGGTCCAGGGTAGCCCCTCTGTGCAGAGCTCGAAGGTTGGCCCTGGGGTGGGAGCAAGGGAGGCAGGGACCTCAGGGAGCAATACACACTCCCTAAATTCCTGCTCTGGGCCAGCCTCCAGCCAGACTTCCTGTTCGATTACATGCCATAGCCATGGGCAGAAGCCAGAGCTGTGGAGCCCAGAGGAGGACACTAACCCAACCTGGGAGTTAGGGAGGGCTTCCTGGAAGAGGCGATGTCTGAGCAGAGTCTGAAAGGGTGAATAAGGGAGACAAACCAGGCCGAAGGCTCAACCTGAGCCAAGTCAGGAAAGTGGGAAACCACAGTGAGGGTGGAAATGACGTGCAGCTCAGCCACAGGGCGGGCAGCGAGGCGGACAGGGGCTAGGGGCCTTGGATCCCAGCACAAGTCGGGCCGGCCCTGTGGGAAAGGTCCCTGGGCAGGTGGTCTGAGGCCTGGCGAATGCACGGTGCATATGGGCCCATTCTCCTGCACTGGCGAGTGCCCAAACTCCCCTCCCATCCACCCGCTCCCGCTCTGCCTGGAATCCCCCACAAAAGGGCAAGCGAGGAGGCTTGGCATTCGACACCCGCCGCAGCCCCGGCTGCCTCTGACCCCTCTCACGTGAGGCCCACATGTCCCATCTCCTGCCTCTTCTTCCATCCCCAGGCACACGCAGGCTGCCTTCCCGACCCTTCTCAGAGGGCAAGCTCCACATGCTGCCCCCAGTCGCTTGTGCCCGTGTCACTCATGCTCACAGACAGGAAGGCCCGAGGGCAGCCCCGGCCCCACCTTCTCCTCCCACCGCAGTGCGGCCAAGCTCGGGGGCCCTCAGTGGCAGCCTGCCCCGTAGAAGCCTGCCCTCCCTCCAGCCCCAGGCTTCCCCACAGGCACTGCTAGTTGGGGGTCCTGCAGGCCCTCCCCCACTCTGCACTGGTGAGTCGGAGCCTGCCACCAACCTGTGTGCTGCCAGCGAGCGGACCAGGACCAGGATGGTGAGTGAGCAGGACAAGACCACGGCTGAGATGTAGCAAACTGGAGGGCAGAGGGAACGAAGGGGAAGGTCAGGCCTTGAGCGTCTCCCGGGGTCCTCTGAGCCGGTGCCAGGGTGGTGCCTCTGGGGGAGTCACCCCTGCACCACACCCCGCTCTGAGTGGAGCCCTCTTGGCCATGCCCCCAGTTCTCAGATCCAGTGTAAGTTGATGACTTTGGCCGCCCCATCCTTCCCAGGGACATATGGGGGCCAAGATGGAAGAGGTCAGCTCTGGGTCCGTGGACCTGGCCCTCACTCTGGTGCTGCGGCTTCCAGTGCTGCGAGTCCCAGCGGGAGACCCCATCCCACCTGGCGTCGGCCTCCAGCTCCACCGCCTCTCGGCCACATGGCCTTCAGGAGGGCGCTCCAGCTCCCAAAGCCCCGCTTTGCTCGTGAACATACCGCGGGACAAGCTGTTATGTTGTCATCTCCCAGGGTGACGGGAGACTCAGGAGAGGGCTTTGCCCAGCCAGCCACATGGCCAGGAGTGACGCAGGGGGTACAGCCGTTTCCCAGCAGATCCAGAATGAGCCCAGCGCCTGCACCCTGGCCTGGTCAGGCAGCGCAGGGAAGTGTCCCTGGTGCCCACGTCCCCACCAGGAACTCGGAAGGGGGGAGAGCAAACACACAGGGACAAGGCAAGCTCTCAGGCGCTAGAGCAGGATCAGCTGGAGCTGCTAAAACTCCCCATCACACCTGACAGTTACATCAGAATCTCCGTGGGCGGCACCCAGCCCTGGCTTTGCGAAAGGCCACGACTCCTGCCTGCAGCCAGGGCCGAGAACCCTGCTGGGGGCTTTCTGAAGGCAGAAACTTCATGACTTATTTCCATCGGCAACGGATTGAAATTAATCAGTCACCGACACTGATTGAGCGGTGGCGTTCAAACTGCCTGCTTCGGAGTCACGGGGGACTGCGCAGCCGCAGGTGCTGGGCCCCACCCTCCGAGTTTCCGACTCGGTAGGCCTGGCGTGGGGCTTGAGCGCTAGGAATTTCAAAGTTACCAGGGGTTCCCAGGCACAGCCAGGGCTGAGAACAGCCTTCAGAAACCTGGGGTCTCGCTGCCTGTCCTGGCTCCCTCCTCCAGGGCCCTCAGAGGCGCACGTCTCTGAAAAGCAGGGTTGGGAGAAAGCACCGCAGGTGCGTAGCCCCAGCCTGCGGCATTGCCCCTCTGGAGCCGGCTCGGCTGCAGCGAAGGTGCACTCTGGGCCATTTGCTGCCAGGAGGAGCCTCTGGCTGGGCCGGGCCGGGGAGTGACAGGCTAACACGGGGTGAAGGGTTAGCAGGCGCCCCTGGCTGGCATTTGATCCCCACCTGTCCACCTCCTGCCTCTCTCTCCCTCCATTGGCTCCAAACGTGGGTCCCTCCAAACCCCGGCGCCATACCATCTCCTTTCTTTGCTGCCTTGGGATCCTGCACATGCCCCTTCTGAGCCCGCTTTGGGGATCGATCTGTCTCCCCTCTCCTGATTGAGGGCCTCAAGGACAAGGGTGGCTTTCTCACTTACAGCACCCATCTCGCAAGTAGGAAAATTGAGGTCAGGAAAGGTGAAGCGGCTTGCCCAAGGCCACTCAGCTTGTAGGTGATGGAGCAGAGGCTCTAATCTAGTCTGCCTGACTCAGAGTCTGAGCTTTCTGTGAATCATGCCAAGCTTATGGTCCAGTGCCAGGTGGCAGCCCTAAAAGAAGCTGTCGAGCTCAGAAGACACTAACTAGCTCCCTAGGCTAAGAATAGACCAAAGGACTCCCAGACCCCAGGCCTAGACTGCTGAATGGCTTTGGGCAGATCTCTAACCCTCTTGGGCCTCAGTTTTCTCATTGCAAACTAGGAGAGTAAAACGCCGTTCTATTTGGCCCCTGCATCCAGAAAGATCCAAAGCAGGAGAATTTTGAGCTGGAAACTGCAGGGTGTGATCACAAACATAAGGTGAGATGCGTAGAAGCAGCGCGCATTGCCCTGGACGTGTCACTTCTTGCCCCTGAGCTTCAGTTTTCTGCTTTGTGAGGTGGGTTCAGTGATGCTGACCTAGCAAGGCTGCCGTAAGTGAGGGGTCGAGCTTGGACATGGGTTGCCTTGGGCCTTTTTTGCTCCTGTCTATGGCCCAGGTTGCAGCCAGCTTAGAAAATCTCCCTGGAGACCTCATTTTCAGCCCACCTGGAACTTGTCACCTGTCCAGCAGCAGTTCCAGGGCAGCCTCCAGTGCGAGAGCTAAGGTGCTCAGGAAGGTCAGGGAGGGAGGCCGCCACCCCACTCCCCGCCCCCCTCCCACAGTGCCAGCATTCCCAGGTCTGCAGGATGAGGACGATGTTATTGGTCAGGAAGAGCTGTAGAGCAGCCACACCTCCACCTCCAATACAGGCTGCCTGAGCTCCGACCTTCGCATGTTACTCCTTAGAAGCCAGGGTGCCCGTACCAGCCCGGGCCCCCAAGTCAGCCCCAGAACTCCTGGCCACCAGGCTTTGTCTCAAGGTGGTGGAGAGAGCCCAGCCCAGGCTTCAGGAGTCCTGCGTCCTCTTGTCTCCACTCTGCCTGCTGGATGGCCTCAGGCAGACCCTGCCCACTGTCAAGTAGGAGCACTTCTCAGTCCCCTCCACGGGGCTGACGGGAGGGCCTGGGAGGTGGAGTGGGTAGGTGGCTGCAGAAGGCATCAGACCCCAGACGGCAAGGCGGGATGGTTGCCTGGTCTGGGGACTCATCATCAGGGGAGAAGGAGCAAGGGGACGCAAGAAAGACAGGGATGGGGAAGGGAAAGCGTGCCCCTCCGCCCACCCCAGGCCCTGCCCTGAGGATTAGCTCAGAGAGGCTGGCCCACTGCCTCCTTTGCTCCTTCCCCGCCCAGCTCCCCCATCCCATGGCCTTCCTCATCTCCACACCTGGAGAGCTGGTCAAAGACACTGGGGGTGGGGGTGGGGGTGGCGATGCACGCCAACTGACAAGGAGCAGGGGCCACTGATGTGGTCCCTTTGGGTTTCATGGAAGCGCCAACTGCCCCTATTTGGAAACGAGGCAATCAAGACCCAGAGAGGGGAAGAACGTGTCCCAGGGTCCCAGTGCGTCTGCGCAGGCTGGGGTGCAGCGCTGGGGTCTCCTGGCTTGTGTCCCCACTGTGGCCCTCAGGGGCTCCCAGGAGGCCTCACCTTCCAGAGCCCACAGATAGTGCTTCACCAGCTCCACCACCTCCTGCCTGTCCTCTGACAGCACGATCCCAAAGCCGGCCAGCAGGTAGGAGACGTCCGTGGTGACCCCCGCCCTCACCTTCTGGATGGTGGGGACCACGCCCACCAGCAACAGCAGGGCCACCTGGAAGAGCCCCACAGTGAGGGCGCCAGGGCCTGGCTGCGCTCACACCGGGCACTCCCACCCCAGGAAAAGTGTCTTCCGTGCTAACGGGGAGGCCTCGGGGGAGGATCTGGCCGCACGCGGGCTGCAGCCACGTGCCCACTGCCACCCGAGGTTCCTCACGCCTCCAAACAGCCCGTCACAGACAGGTGCAACGATGGCCTAACAGATAGGCCTTCAAGCACTGCAACCGTATACAGTTGGCCCTGTATACAGTGGAAAAAACCCACAATAAAAAATAACAACAATAAACAATTCAAACTTTAAAAATACAGCATAACAACTATTTACGCAGCATTTCCATTGTTTGAGGTACTATAGGTACTCGAGAGATGGTTTAGAGTATAGGGGAGGATGTGTGTCATTACAAGCAAATACCACACCATTTTATGTCAGGGACTTGAGCGTCCGTGGATTTTGGTATCTGTGCAGGTCCTGGAACCACTCCCTACGGATACCGAGGGACAAGTGTCCCTACACCTCCATCCTTCTATGCATCTATCTATCTGTCGTCTGTCTAAACTTCAGAATATAGAATTCCCAATTTTTCCATGTTGGAGAAAGCAAATGAGGACAAGAATTAAAGCTGGATGGATGGGATTCAAATGGTGACTGCCCTGAGACACTGACTGTGTAGGAACTTGGCCAAGTCAAATTCACCTCTCTTTGCCTCAGTTTCCCCATCTGTAAAATGGAGAAAATCATTCCTACCTCCCAGAATTTTAATTTTTTTTTTTTTGGACGTGGTGGGGGTGAGTTTTTCAAACACGTTAGCTCACTGAATCTTCCCAGCTACTCAAAGAGGAAAGCGATTCTGTTTATTTCCTCCATTTTACAGATGAACTAGCTGCTACAGAGAGGTTGAATAACTTGCCCAAGATCACTTAGGAGGTAAATAATGGAACCAGGATGAAAATCCATGTGTACATGGATCCCAAAACTCTCACTCTGAGTCACTATGAGTCCAACAGGAGTTGACGCCGCCCGCCCGTCGGGGCAGGCCGGCATTCCCCACATGGCGAGAGCAGCCAGCCAGGATTGTGCGCGGGGCATTTGGAGAGCTGAGTGGGGCCGGAGCTGTTCCAGGCTTGGGGACTGAGGGCAGGGGTCCAGAGGCAGATGGCACTACAGGTGCAGGACATACCTGGTAAATGGCCGTGCCTGTCAGGGTGGCTGAAAGCACCAGCTTCAGGGGGAGGCGGAATCCTGCAGTCCCAAAAGAAGGGGCGTGGTCAACAGCACAGCACTAGCCGGGCCCAGGAGTCCCCGTCCCTCCCGAGGGGCCCAGGAAAAGCACCAGGGCTCACAGGACTCGGGACCACCAAGGCCAGGCCAGGGTCTTCCCCTTGTCCTGAGCTGGCAGTTGTCCCTCCCGATGACAAGGATTCTGGGGAGCAGGAGCCAGCCCTCCACTGCAGCTGTTCTGTGCAAGGGAGGTGAGGTCACCTGTCACTCTCGGCCGTAGCGCCCCACCCTTACCTCTCTGTGGAGTGTAGACGCACTGTCGGAGGCAGGCCCAGGCCGGGGACAGGAAGCCATGCTTGGGGGAGTGGGAGCTGTAGAAAGACCCAGGCAGGCGGTGGGGCCCTCAGGAGAAGCCCCTGCCCCCAGGGCAAGCCCCTGAGTCTGGTCACTTCTCACCTCTGCCCCTGGCCTGCTGCCCAGTGCTGGCCTCCCACACACACCTGCTAAGCAGCCCCTTCCACCGCACACCAGGCCGTGCCTGGGACCTCACCTGCTCTCCAGCGTCTTCCGGCGAAGGAGGGTCCTCAGGTATTCCTCAGAGTCGCTGCTCCGCAGCCCCTGTGAGAACAGCAATTGGACAGCAGATGAGACCTGCTCGAGCCGTCCCTGGGGCTCTGGCTCAGGGTCCTGGAGTGTTTGCCAAGCCGGTGCCCTGCAAAATCCTCTGGGCTGTGGTGGTGGCAGTGGGTGTGAGGCAGCCGACCTGTAGGGACGAGGTCTGTGCCCCTCAAAGCTGTCCCTTTCTTTCACAAATACAAGACCAGTCAGTCTCCTATGGAAGAACCCTCAATGCCGGGAAGTTCTTCCTAAGATCTATCTCCAACTCTCTCCTGCTTTACCCAGTCACATCCATCATTGCTTTTTTTCCATCCCTCAGGCCTCTGCTAGCTGAGAGGGGGTTGAAGGGGAACCTGTGTCCCATGGGCACATCCCTGACCAGGACACAGGATGGGGTCATTCCAGGTCACACCCCCAGGCCTCTCCTCCTGCTGCTACTCCAGGGAGATCACAAGGTGGCCGGATTTGTCTAAGCCACATTCCAGGCCTTAAGCTGCCCACAAAGTGGCAGAGGCCCATGGGAGGATGGGGTGAGCCCCTGACTAGTGTCACCTGTTGCCACGGCAACCCTGGGATCCAGGGCAGGAGTGGGTCAGCTCAAAGCTTGATGGGGTCTTTTGAGGCTTAAACCTCTTTGACTGAAGTCCAAAGAGGACTTTGTTCCCCTCGACACAGGGAGGAGAGGCGTGCATGGCGGAGGGTGAGGCAAAGAAGTCCCGGAAGGGGAGGTCACGGGACTCAGTGAGGCACTACTGCGTGTCCCTGGGGAGCCGTTCCCCTCTTCTGGGCCAGCCATAAACGTGAGGGGACCATGGCTTCCCAGGAGGACTATGAGCATCAGCGCAGCAGGGACAAGTCCCCAGAAGCCAGCTGCCTACCACGAGAGAGCCACACCAAGAGTCGGCGGCCTCCTCAGTCCCGAGGGGCCTGTCGGGGACCCAGCGCTGCCCTTTGGGAGCCTGAGCACCCCGGCCTCTCCTCTCCTCACTCTCCCCTCGGGCTGCGGAGCTGAGACCCAGGCCCAGCCTGCGCGGCTCACGCACGTGCCAGGCATCGCCTGGGGAGCACCTGCTCCTCGTCCACCTTCTCGGCCAGCAGCGGGCACCGCCACCCCCTGCCGTCGGCCTAGGTGCCTCCCATGAGCCCCTTCCCTCACCGCCCTGCCTGGAGAGGAACCCAGCCCTTTGGCCTCTGCATCCTCGGCCTTTGCTGAGACTGTCCCCCATCCCCGCTGAGAGCCCAGGGGAGTCTTCCTCCCCTCCCGCGTTCAGGGGCATTCAGAGGAGCCCGCCGTGTTGACATTGCACTGTCTGCATCCGTTGCCGCGTCCGTCTGCCCCCTCCCCGGGACCGCCTGCAGGTCACTCCCCGGTCAGTCAGCTCTGAGTCCACGGCACCCAGGCCAGGGCCTGACGCGGGGTAGGTGCATGGAAGGCTTTGCAATAAGATCTCAATGTCTTTTAAGAATTCTCTTTTACTATGATGTATCCGTCTGTCCATCCATCCATCCATTCAGTCCTCCATCCATCCATCCATCCATCCATCCATCTATCCAAAAATTCAAAACCATTTGCCGAGTATTATTGCGGGCTAAGATCTGCCCAGTGCTGCAAACATGGACGTGAACAAAGCAGACAAGACCCGTCTCTGCCCCTTCCTCTCGCTCCCTCCGGTGCCGACACTGCCTGCTCCTAGTCCCTCTCCGCTCTGGATCCTCCCTGGCCTCCAGGCCTCACTGAAGTCTATCTCCTCCAAGAAGCCTTCCCAGACCTCCCCTTTATTTGACGTTATCCAACCGCGTCCGACCCAGAGTTGCCTCGTGATGCAGTTCTGTCCTGGGTGCTCCCTGCGGCATCAGCGCGCGCAGAGCTCTGACTAGGCACAAGGCTCCAGGCCCGTCTCGTGTCTCCGTCTGGGTCCTCTGTTTCGAGAACAGAGCTGTGACGTTCCTGTCCTCTGACCCGGTTCTCCTTTCAGTCCCTACTGTTCACATGACCCAGTGCCTCAGGGGTCCTGGGAGCAAGTCAAGGGCCCGATCCAGCCTTTGCCTGCGGAGGGAGGACCGAGCAGTCACTCAATGACTCAGCAAACATTTTCTGAGCAACTGTTATGTGCCGGGCCCTACACGAAGCGTGGCCGTGGATACAGGACCACAGGCAGGGTGAATTCAGGGTGTCTTGGTGTGAGCAGGGGCGCCCCCCAGCTCTGGGCCCCTTTACCTCGAAGCCTGTCCCATGGCTGAAGCTCCTCACCAGCTGCACCGGGTACCAAAGGCTCAGGAATCCGAGGCCCAGAAGGAGAGGCAGGGAGGCCAGCAGGGAGTAGTACTTGTAGATCTGGACAGACAGATGGACACACAGACCTACCTTCTGCCTGCCTCCCCCAGTGGAGAACTGATCCGTTTCCCTCCCCACCTCTCGCTGGGGCTCTGAGGATGTCTGGGGGGCCGTGGGAAGGCTTCTGATCTACGGTCCCACAATCTGCCGGCCTGCTCACTTCCCCTCCTCAGGCCCTGCAGAGGTGCTCACCCCTCCCCCAGACCCCTGGACTCCCTGGGGCCTGAGAGAGGCCAAAGAGAGGTCACGTGACCCCTCCTGCCCACCCCCAGGGGCTGGAACGAGGCCAAGGACACCCTTTTCTGAGGCTGAAAACAGAGGATACCCTTTTCTATGTACCTATGTCCCTGGAGCGCTAGGACACAAGCTCCTGACAATCAGACGAAAGCCTCATTTTGTCCACATGCAATTTGCAACCTGGGCATCAGGGAAGTACATCCCCTACCTCCCGGGATCGAGGCCTTCCTGGAGTTGGGCCCCTTATGTACTCATTCATCTATTCGCTAATTCAACATGCTTTTACTGAGAGCTTAGTACGGGCCAGGTCCTAGGTGGCGAAAAAGACCCACCAAGTCCTCCATCTCAGAGCAACCTCCTGACCTTCACCTCCACCCTGGGGCACTGGTGGTGTTATCACCTCCATTCACGGGTGGGGAAACTAAGTCTCAGAAAGGTGGCATTGTTCCCTTGAGGCACTTAGCACCACCTGGCATTATTTTGTTTGTTTATTGTGTTTCCCCTTCAGAATGACGCTCTTGGAGGCCAGGGACTTCATTTGTCTGTTTCACAACGGTAGTCCAGTGCCTGGAAATGTCCCTGGTACAAAGTATGTGCTTCAAATATGTTTGTTGAATGAATGAATGGGTGAGTGAATGAATGAAGTAGTAGAGCTGGATTCAAATTCAGGTTGTCTGGCTCCAAAGTCGCCTGGGGTTCTAGACTGGGCAGCTTCACTGCCAGTGAACCGGTCCTGAGGTTCTGGAATTCTCCTTTTAGCCCTCAGAGACCATCCCCCAACTCAGCACTGGCGGGCTTCCAGCCTACTCCGGCCTGAGCAAACAGAGGGAGGGAAGTCTGGGGAAACTCTAACGGGGTGTTCAGGCTGCTTCCTCCTGCTCTGCCCATGTCCCCCTCCCTGGCCCTCCTAGACTAGAAGCTCCTGAGGGCAGGGCCCAGCTGCCTTGCCCCCTGCTGCTCCCACAGAGAAGCTGGGCTTGGATGCGCAGCCGCAGCCGGTGGAGTGAGTCCCCTGCGCCGGGGAAGGGGCAGGGAAGCCAGGCACAGGAACAGATGGAAGGAACACACTGGTTTCAGCAGCTGCTCTCTGCGCCCCTCTGTCCTCGGCCATGGTAAGTCAGCAGTTACCTGGGGTGCCTGGGGACACTCTGCCTTCTGCCAGACCTGGACCCCAAGGTGGGCCCAGGACAGTGCGCTGCCGAGCAGGTGTGCGGTTCTGTGGCCAGCCGTGGCACAGGCGGCCAGCGGGTAGTAGAGGGCCGCGTAATAGAGCAGGCCCAGCATCTTCCAGGACCCTGGAAGGCGAAACAGGCAGAGACCCGTGCTGGGAGGGCATACGTGGGGCCTGGGGGGAGCCCGTCCCAGTCTTTCTCCCTTCTCCAGCTTCCAAGCCCCTCCGCAAGTGCAACGGGCAAGAGCCCTGGGTTCAAATCCAGTCAAATCCAGATGCTGACTAGCATCAGCTCTGTGATCTTGGGCAAGTTACCTCGTGGAGTCTCAGTTTCCCCGTCTGTAAAATGGAAATAATCATAGCATGTTAGCAAGGCCAAAATGAAAAGGTTGATGCACAGTGCCTGGCACGGTGCCTGAGTAAGCACTTAATAAATTAAACTACTACTTATTATTGTTCTTTTCTCTGACCCTCGGTTCCCTCCACTATAAAATGGGGCTAACATGCATGCTCCACAGAGCCATTGTGAAGACTGGGTGACCTAAAGAGGTCATGTTGCCCGGCAGCGGCCCCTCCCATCGACAGCCTTTCTCGTTACCGTCACCTGCTTGAGCCAAGCTTAATACCCCAAGACCCCACCCCGCTGGTCCCATCGAGCGAGCCTCGGGCCTCAGCCGCGCTGGGTACCTGGGCTGGGCGGTGAGGCGAGGCTCAGGAAGGGCAGCGGGTCCTTGTCGGGGAGCAGCAAACACAGAGAACTGAAGAGGACCACGAAGACAGCAGCAGGCACTGTCCGGGGCCTGTCCCCAGCCAAGAAGTCCACAGGGCTGGACAGAAGCAGGGGCAGGGCAGGAGGGAGTCGCTCAGCCCTACACCCTCATTACCCAGGCTATGTTCCATAAACCAAGGGGTACAGTCAGCCCCACTTTCTGGACGGGGAAACTGAGGCTCCTTCCTTCCTTCCTTCATTCATTCCATAGATATTGTGGAGTGCCTGCTATCTGCCATCTCTGGGCCCTGTGGCAAATGATCTCGGGACACACACAGTGGGAACAAGCCCTAGCACTGCTCCCTCCACCCACCCTGGAAGCTCCAGGAAACAGCTGTCTCCACACTAATCAGTCTGTCTGTCTGGGCTGGCAAACCTTCAGAGAGCTCAGCGAGTCACAACATCCTTGTGCAACGGCCGCCGCCCTGGGCGGGGTGTGGACCCGGGGCAGAGGGTAGACAGCGGCCACGGCTGTCCCAGGCATCACCCTCTGGTGATGCATTCAGACCCTCTGCTTCTGCATTCCAGCTTGAGCTCGTGCTCTGAGAGCTCCACCCAAGCACCCCTCACAGGCATGGCAAGCTCTTTACTGGGCCAACCAGAGACCCCAGGCTGGTTCCCCACAAAACCAGCGTGGCAGGACCTGCCTGGGTGCACAGCCCAGGTCTGGGGTGTGAGGCTGTCTATCCTGGGGCTCCACCCGCCACCTCCCCCAACCCTTTGGTCTCTACCCTGTTGGCCTGCCCAGTCCCATCCCCTGCCCAGTCATGCCTATCCCAGGCTTTGGTTCCAGCCATACAGACTAGAAGTTAGTCCTCATAAATCTGCCTTTAAGCATCAGGGTCAGATGACACCCTCAGGGAAAGGAGGGTCAGCATGGCACTGAGGTGGTCATGGTCAGTGCAGACACTGAGGGCTGCCCGAGAAGTCGCAGCCTGGAGCTGGGTCCTGTTGTGCTGTTTCCCTGGGGTCTGGGCTGGAACCCGTTCTCCCCGTGTCCCGCACCTCAGGAGCGGGTGGCCCGAGTGCATCCCTCCCCCGCCCTCTGGGGGTCCTGAACTACACCTGGAGCTGTGGGGGGTGGAGAAAGCCCCCAGGCCGAGAGAGGTAGGGGTGTCCCTGAGGCCAGACCTGGCTCTTAGGTACCTAATGAATCACCCGAGTGGCCCTGTCAGCGAGGCCCCCTGAGTGGGGGTTCCCCCGCCATGGCACCAACCTGGGCAGGCCCGGCCTGCCGTGCCCACAGCCAGGCCGGAGCCGGTGGCGCCTCCCCAGCAAGGCCAGCAGCAGCAGCACGAGGATCTGAGAGGAGAACGCAGAAGAGGGATTGGGTGTCCAGGCCTTCCCCGAGGGTCTGAGTCTGAGGGCTTGAACTCAGACCCCAGGACAACCCCCACCTGCCCAGGGCACACTTGTGTGGTATCTTGGGGATGCTCAAGAGGTGACAGATGTCTGGGAGGTTGCACTTGGCCCGCATCCTGGTTTGGGTCCCCACCCTGGGAGAACTCCCAGATTCCTCCTCCCAGGGGTGCCCGGGGTCCCCTGTCACCAGGCCCAGCAGGAAATACAAGACCCTCCACCCAGGCCGGCAGCAGGTTGCCAGCCAGGCTGGGCTCAGGCTGGACTCACCGACAGCGAGGCAAGGCAGGCGTGGGGCAGGCCGGGCGGCACACTGGGGTGGCAGGAGGGCACTGCCCTGCAGAGCAAGCAAAGGCCAGCTCAGGCCTAGGTAGGGCCCCCCGGGTGAGCAGCTGGGTCTGGGGTCCAAGGCGTCTACACTGAGGCTCCACCTAACACCCCCCTCAACCCTCTGATCCCTCCTACCCAAGCCTGCCCAGTTCCACTTTCTCAGAGTCATGCTGGGGCCCTTGTGACCCTACAGTGTTCCAGCCCCATGCCAATCTCTGGGGTTATAGGGTGAAGGAGACAGGAGGCTCCCAGGGGAAGCAGAGTGGGCCAGCTCAGCCTGAACACCTGTTTTTGCTCACTTAGGTGCTTCCTATCCTCCAGGACCCACTTCACTGCTCCCCCTCCAGGAAGACTACCTGACTGCTCTGGCCTCACAGACCCCTTCTTCTCAGAACTCTGGTGGAGCATATACCTGGATCAAGCAATCAAGTGATTGGTATCTGAGACTGGTCTGTCACTGAAATGATCTTCCCTGGTCCCCCTCTTTCCTATTTCCCTCTCATTAAGAGCCTCCACGTACAGCTGGGCAGGTTGCACACTGCACAAGGATGATCCACCAAGGGAATGAATATGGTGCGAGGTTCAGGCCACACTGCTCACCAAGCCCTGTGCAGCTGAATGTACCTAAATGGGGGTCCTTTTCTAATTCCACAGAGGCTCCCTATGGCCTAGAAGAGGTGCTGTTCTCGCCCTGGCTGAGCACAGAAGGCCCATTGTGGAGATGAGGACATGAGTGAGGACAATGAAGGCCTCAGCTTCCCCCGCTGGGTCATGTGCCAGAGAAAGGAGGTTGGGCAGGAGCCCTGGGCGCAGGGCCGGCCCTGGACCTGGGCTAGCAAGCAGGACTGGGTCCCCAGTGGGGAGTAGACCTCCAGATTTGTCCAGCTTGGCCTGGGAGTGCCAGGGGGAGGGTGGCAGTGAGGTCTGGTGACAAGGGCCTGAGACAGAGCCCCGAACTGCAGCCAGGCCCTGCCTGCCCAGGAGGCTCAGTCGACCCGCCTGGGCACCTTCCTGCTGTGTGGAAACGAGGAACCGTGGCGGCTGCATCTTCCCCGTGAGCTCGGAGGCCTGGGACCCTTTGCTGGGCCATCCCCATCCCCCCTGCTTGCACTCTCTCAGGAAATCCCAGAGGGTGAGCGGTGGGAAAGAAACGGGCCACTTGGGCTTGTCCTTGGGGCGAGGGGCAGAGTGAGTCCATTCTGTGGCGCTCCATGGCCAGGGCGGAGCTGGCCTCCCCTGGAGCAGGACTCGGCCCACAGAGCAGCTGCCACACCGGGGGTCAGGTCCCCATCGTCTGGGCTCGGGCCTGACGCTCCCCACTTCCTACTCTGAGACCTCTCTCCCCAGCGTGTACGGCAGGGTTTGGGCACCTGCCCGGCCCCCTCGGCCTGCATCTCACATGACTGTCCTGCTCCGCCCTGTAGCCCTGGGCCCGGCCAGGGCAGGGACTCGGCAAACTGTCCCTGGAGCAGCTTGACCATTTTTCTGGGGCCTCACCCCAAACTAAGGGCTACCTCCAGCCCTGGAGATGCCCTCCATGGCCCTGTCTGGGAGAACCCCTGGCCCTTTCTGTACCACTTGAGGGCCCCGTCTGACCCCTCAGCTCAGTGTGTCCCTTTCACGAGCAAATGTTTGGTTGGACCCGTGTTTTGTGCCGTGGGACAAGCAGGATGGCACAGACACAAAGTACGACATGGGGGACGGTGGCTCGAACCCAGGAGAGGCGCGAGCAGGTGTTCAAGGACCCAGAGAAGGGAGAGGAACTTCAGGCAGCAGGAGGTGGCATCTGATTTGAGCATCTCTAGACAGAAAAGGGGACAGGCAGCCCCCCGGACAGGGAAGAGCAGGAGGAACCCGGGCAGTGCGGACAGCAGGCGGGGCCCGGCGAGGCTTCCAGCTTCACTGCAGCCCGGGGCTTGGGGAGACCAGATTTCAGCAGGCGTGGGGGGGTCCTGGGAGGCCACTGAGTGTCTGGATTTGAGGAAATTTCTGTGCTGAGTCCATGCTGGCCACTGTCGCCAGCACCCACCCGCCCCAACTCCAGCCCGGCGGTGCGGGAGTGTGCTCAGGTGCAGCTGGGAGCTCCGGACTCCTCAAAGCTTTGGTGCACCACGTCCCTCGGGCATCTGACTCACAGAGGGAGAGGTGAGCCCAAGTTCAGCTCCCTGGGATTCCCCTGAGCTCCCAGCTTCCCACTCCCACCTTTGGGGCCAGGAGGACGGCAGGCAGCTCGCCTGGGTTTGGCTAAGCAGGTAGATTCAAACGAATCTCTTCATCCTTACGGGTGCCATGCCCTGGAGTGGGAGGGGGAGCTGCAGATTCCAGATGCCACCCACATTAGGGACAGCACTCGCCATCACCAAGTCCCTGCCACGCACGCAACTTCATTCTGAGACCCTATCTAAACACCCCAGCTACAGAGCTGGCTGCAGGCACCTGGCCCCCAGCCAGAGTCCAGGCTCTGAGGCTCCCAAGGTCACAGTTTCAGATTCCGGCCTTAGCCCAGGTTAGATCTTCATCCTCATGGGGTTCCCGGCCCCTCCCCCTCTGCTCCCTCCCAGCCCATACATACACAGAGGGGCCCCGTGAGCCCATGGGCTCTCAAGGTCAGCCAGGGCTGAGTGGGGAGCACACCCTTGCCGACAGCAGGCTGTTTTCCACGGGTCGGAATCCTGAGTCCTCCAAACAACAGCTCCTTCCCGCAGGCCTGGGTGGGGCCTCCATCCCTGCTGGGTGACCCAAGCCCAGCCAGGCTGCAGCCCCAGCCCCTGGGGAGGCATGCAAGAATTTTTCCTTCTCCAGTTTCGGGTTTTGATGGAGAACAGATGTGCACACATCTGGCTCGGCAACCCCCCCGGCCTCACCTTTCCAGTTCCCCAAACATCAGACAGAGCAGGGAGGCAGGCGATGGGGCCTGGGCCAGGAACGACGGGGGAGAACTGAGCTCTGGGTCCCACATAGGCAAGGTGTCTTGGCAGCAGGTCGGGGGCACAGAAAGGCCCGGCGCCCCTGCCAGCATGCCCAAACTAAACAAAGGTAGGAAGGGCCTGGGCGAAGCAGCTATGGCTGGTCCTCAGGTCCTCACCCTCCCCTGGGCTGGCCTGAGCACACTTGCTAGAGAACAGGCCCTCCTCGTCCTCCCGGAGACTCTGAGACCGTCCAAAGACAACGAGGCGCATGTTTGCTCGGGGCCTTCTCCCCAGGCCTCCTTCCTCCAGTTCTCTGCCCTCCCGCACACCCCCAGAGAACCCCACGCCCCAAATGGTCACCAGGGAGACCAGCTGCCCTTCGAAAGCAGGCCCCCTTTCCCCAACTCCCCTGGCCTTCCCCATCCTGGCTGTGGCCAAGATCACCCAGGGAGACACCCCAGACCTGTCGCCCCAAATCTGCAAGGATAAGGCCCAGGAATCTGTATCTTTGACACACCACACAGGTACTTTGTAGATGACCAGCCTGGCCCATGTCCCCTCCTCAAGCACCTTAACAGAAGGGCAAGGGGTGTTGTTCTCATGGAACAGAGGCGGGGACCGAAGCCCAGAGAGGCTGTGGCTTGCCCAGAGTCACACAGCAAATGAGTGGCAGAGCCAGTCTCAGCAGCCCTGCCCAGGATCTCCCTCCCCCACTGGTAACCCCTGCTGCACCCCGCTCTGGTGGCCGACAGAGCAGGGCCTCCACACTCACCCCTCCGGCTGCAGCTCCTCGGCCCCCGGGGCCTCATCGATGTACCAGGAGTAGTCATCTGCCGCCCCCGAGGAGCTCTGGTTCCCTGTGGCTGGGGAGGACATTCTTGGTCCTTCTCCTTTGACCCCCAGATGAGAGAAAAAAAGCCACTACAGATATGAAAAGAGGCTTAAGAGAGAAAAAAAGAAAGAAAAACCAAACAAAGAAACAGTTCTCTTTAATCCTAAAGGTTACTTTCCTGCCTTTAGCTCTCTGGGAAAAGCCCTTCTGGGACTGTGGTCCTGGGCAGGCTGGCACGGGAGGAGGGGAAGGGCCTCTTGTGTCCCCTCCTGTCCTGTCCTGCCCAGTCTCGCCTGGTCCTGCAGGGCTAGTTATCCTCTGCCTCGGGGTCCTGGGGTCTTGCTGGAGCCTCTCTCTGTCTGACCGCCACCAGCAGGCCTTTGTTCAAAGGACCGTTTTCAAAGAAGGTTTGCCCAGTTCGAGCTGTCCTCAGAGACCCCCGTTTCCTTTCCCCTCCCCAAGCCCACCTAGATGGACCCACAGGCACACCAGGAGGGAGGACCCGGGAGGAAGGAGCTGCAGAGATGAAAGGGTGGGCGGGCCGCGGGCAGCTCCACATGGCCTGCTGGCCCTCCCGGCTGGGCTCCCTGCCCCTCCCGCTCTCTGGGGTCCTGCCCAAGCCCCCACTTTGCTCAGGCTCCCTTGAGCCCCTCCCCCAGCCTCAGCCTACCTCTCTCTGGCCCCTTTGGGCCTCAGTGATGGGAACGCACCATAATCCTTGACAAATCCCCCCTCCTGGGGGAGGAGGCCCCAGCTCCATTGGCAGCGGAGCCCTGGAGGGGTGTGGCCAGGAGGGGCCGGCACCTGACTTCACTCGCATACCTGCTTCAGCGCCTGCCCAGCGCTCCCACGCCTTTGCCGCCACATCTGCAGCCGCCCGCCTGTGAGCCCAGCATGGCAGCGACCCGAGAAGACGGACCACTGCGGCTGGGCCGGGGGTGGAGGCAGGCACAGGGAGTCTGTCCATTCCCTCTCCCGGGGTTTCCACAAGGAGGCCACATGTGTCTCACTCATAAACCCTTTTTGTCCCTATGACTTGATTTCACAAGGAGATAACTCACCCCCATGGGGCGGATGTTCTTTAAACACAACCAGACCCAGGGGCAAGCTAGGAGAGCCCCGCCTGCCTCCTCCTCCTCCTGCTGGCCTGTGGGGGAGGGGAGGGGAGGGCTCCTCCTCATCCTCCCTCCCCTAAGGAGCCCGACCCCCGGCCCACGCCCTCCCCTCTCCCTGGGCCCAGCCCCAAGGGAGGGGCAAGGTGCAGAAGAGGGCAGAGAGAAGTTCTCAGGCCAGGAGGCCTGGGGGAGGCTCAGGCTCCCTGAAACTTCGAGCTTCCCCGTCCTTCCAACTCCACAAGGGGCTTGGGTCTCGGCCCCACCCAGCTAAAGCATTTCATTCAACAGCTTTTTTGAAAAGACATTCATTCACTTGTTCTTTTAACGTAAATTAACTGAACACCTACTATGTGCCAGCCCTGTTCTGGGCCCTGGGATGTGAGAGATTCCAGTGTAGGGGGCGGACAGAGAAAAATATGTAAGTAGCCTCGGTAGCCTGAGGGTTACAAAGGGAAGGCACAGGGTGACCTGGCGCTACCATGGGAACCGCCTGGGGACAGAGCTGGTTGAGCTGGGGGATTCCCGAGAAAATAACCTTTCAGTGGAGGTCTGCAGCAGGGAAGTGTCAGCTGAGCAGAGGCGGTGGCCGGGGGCGGCGTGGGAGTGGGGGAAGTGTGTGCCCAGTGGAGGGAACAGCACAAGGAGTAGACAGGGCTAGAACTCCACACTCCGTCTACACTGCCCAGCCCTCAGGGCGGGATTAGGGCCTGAGTGCTCAATCAGCCTTGGTCCCTCCCCTCCTTCCCAAATGCCGCTCTTCCAGGAAGAGGGCTCCGGCTCCCCTCCCCCGGCCCACAGAGATACCAGTGTCTGCTGACTCAGAGCTGAACCTGAACTTTACATGATGCAAGGCAGGAGTCCACACTGGTCCCTCTGATCCCTGGGATTGGGGTGAACCTCGCCCCCCAGGCCTGGGCGTGAGCTCCAAGGGCAGAACGCTGGCCCTTCCTCCCCTACCCGCTCCATCCCCTGACGCACAGCGCCTGGCCCTGGGGTCAGAGGGGCTCTGGAAATTGAGTCTGGCAAAGCCATTGCTTGTTCCGGCGACCGTCGTTCATCTGTGGGCACGTCCCTGTCCCGCACAGGCTGCTGTGTGCCCTGGGGTTCACCCGCTGGGCTTCCAGAGCGCCCCGCTCCAACACCAGGACCCTTCACTGCTTGGGGGCCCACCCAGACCTTTACCTGCGGGAGCAACCAACTCCTATCTGATTTCAAATCTCCTCGTGAGGCTGCCAACGGTCGCAGTCCTATTCCAGACAGGGAGCTCACCCCCTCCACAAAGCAGGGATGTCCCTGGCAGGCCTCTCTGCCTATCAGAAACCATGTGCTTGCTTGGAAGGAGCTTAACTCTGCCTCTCTCAGGCCGTTGTGTTCATTCATTCATTCAGCAAACGTTTCTTGTGTGCTGGCTGCATGCCAGGCAACGTGCTGCACGCGGATGGCACGGCAGAAGCAGGCCCTGCACCGCATGGAACTTAACATGCAGCGGAGTCGCGGGGAGACAAACGCGTCTGCAGTGGTGAGGGAGAGACGATGTGGGGGAAGAGAAGACAGACAGGAGAGTCTGTGTTAGACATGGTGTCAGGGAGGCCTCACCGAGGAGGGCTATTTGGCTTATACCTGCAGGGAGAGAGGGGGTGCTCCACGAGCCACTGAGGAAAGGCCTCAGGCTGCCCAGGCCAGCACAAGGGGACCCAGCCAGGCCCAGGCACAGAGCCCCCCACAGCACCTCCCTGGACCAAACCCCGCCCTGCCCCCAAGGGACTTCTAGCGGATCCCCCATCCCCCAGGGATGGCCCAGGGTCGACAACATCCCTCCCTCCTCTCTGGGGGGATGCAGAGGCCACCTTCGGGGAGGCCCTAAGCAGAGGCAAGGAGAGCTTTGTCCCTCTCCCCCAGTGTGGGCACAGCAGGCAGAGGGCAGCCTTGGCCAGGGAGCGGGTCCGGACGGTGCGGTGCGGCCAGGTTTGCACGCGGCAGTGGGGACGGGCTGGGGAGGCAGCCTAGCTGGGTTTGAGCCCCGGGCTGGAGTGTGGCCCTGAGTGAGTCTCTTCCCCTCTCTGGGTCTCACCCCAGCTCTCTCCAGCCTGGAGATTCTGCAACTGTGGGCTCTCCCCCCACGGCCCCCACTCCCTGCCCTCAGTGACATCACGGCCCAAGAATGTGGAGCCAGCACACCAGGCACTGGCTGTAACAAGGTCAAAGCCACAGAGAGCTGGCCGTGACTTCCTAGGCGCTCCCACTGCCTTCTGCCCACCCACCCTCCAGGCCCCCAGCTCTCCCACCCACCCCTGGGGGCCAGGGCAGGCTGGGTTGAAGATCTACGGATCCTGGGCGGCCGCAGGGCTCCAGCTAAAGGCTGACCCCACTTCTTGGAGCCCAAGTACCTCCTGGGCTTGGGGCTCGTGTCTGCACAACGGGGAGGGGAGCATGGTCTGTGGGGAAGGGTGCCACCAGCCAGGCTGCAGGCCGGCAAGGAGAAGTATTTCTCCAAAGGCCTGGGTGGCGGAGTCCAGAGCCTGCCCTCTGGAGCTGGCCTTACAGGGACACTCACACCCAGAGGAGTCCAGCCCCCACCATCAGGAGAGGAGGCTGGAGAGTGGCATTTGAGAGACAGAACTGCAGAAGCCGGGGGCGGCGGGTGAGGAGATGGCTTGGGCAGGCTGGCAGGCTTCCCGTAGGAGGGGGCCCAGGGAAGATAGGGGATGGTAGCAAGAATGAAGTATAAGCGTCTTAGCAGGGCTGAGAAGGAGAGTGTGAGAGGCGAGGAGAGAGCATGGTGGGGTCAGGGCAGGGCTGTCTCGCGGTGACCTGCTGGCGCCCAAGTGGCACACTCAGATGAGGCTGATGCCAATGTTCCAGGAGCAGCCCAGGCCAGCAGGACTCCCAGCTGGGCACAGATGGGGGTTGGCCAAGCCCTGCTCGCTGTGGGAAGGGGTCCTAAAAAGCTTCTAGAAATCTGAGCCAATGGAGGCCACCTGCCATCTGGGCCTGGCACGGAGCTGCCCTGTCCCTCAGGCTGGAGCTGGCCTAGGAAGGCTTGGGACAGGGCTTCCTTCCTCCCTGTGTTTTTGTTCAAGTTGATTAAACCTGAGGAATTTCTGCATCCAGGAACAGAGGCCCACGTGCGTGCCTTTGGCAGCCCGCGGTCAGCAACATCCTCAAAGGGCAAAGTGCTACGCTTAGAGGGAGCTGACGGCAGGACAGAAGGAACGGGGAGGGCCAGCACCCCAGAAACACCCCAAGGACCCCCAGATCTCTCAGAGCACCTCCAGCATCTCAGCGATATTTCCAGAATTTCAGTTATGCCACACGAACCCCACGAGTCTCAGTGTTGCCCCCGAAGTCCCCAGAACTTCAGTAACACGTCAGAGGTACTGCGACACCTCAGCACCCTCAGACTCTGGTGGATCTAGTGCAGGCTGGAGCAGGATGCCCACATGCCAAAGCCTGTGAGTGGCACAGAGAGCCAGGGACCCATGTCACTGTCCGTCCCTCCCTTCTCTCCCTTGGCTCTGAGCCAGCAGCACACCCAAAAGTTCTACAGCACACAGCCCCCGCAACACCCTCATTCCCACAGCACAGCAGAGAACACCCAAGGGGGCGCTTCCGTCCAGGAGTGGGGGGATGGCCAGTGTGCCTGCCTGCGCAGCCCGGCCCCCCGAGAGCCCTTGGGGAAATGGCCAAGGCAGAGTCAACCCCATGCAGACCAGCGAGCTCAGGGTCTGTCCTCAGCTTTACAGCACACACACACACACACACACACACACCCCAAAGTGTCCCTCTCACACAGAGGGGCTGACCTCTGGCCCCAGACCAAGCCCGACGCCGTGCAGTGGGCTGGGCAGCAGTCTGATTGGCTGCTAAGCTCGTGAGGGAAGCGTGTAGGTGGCTCTCTTCCTCCTGCCGCTCTACCTCCTCCTTCCCCTTCCACGTGGGAGG